AAAATTTAATTCTGAATAAAAGCGCAACTTTGTTGTTAAGATACACATGTGGCGGTCGAACCTGAATGAAGACAACACCTAGAAGAACAAACCACGAGTATCCACCATCCGGAACCGTCGGTCCGAGCTCTGGGTATGAACTGACAATCTCGTCGAGACGAAGTCGCTCGACGAGCGGCATCTTTTCTGTCGAGCTCGACGCAAACGCTCCACAAGTAGAATGAACGACGCGATCTTTACGCAAAGAATGTTTAAAACAATACGACATTCGTGATTCGTTAAAGCGACTCCGCGACACTTCCTCGCTTTGAACAAATAGCAATCTCAAGACAGCTTAAAATATATTATACGCAATATCTAATCTCGACTAAGGTGTCGGCGCTCCGATAGCCGTTGATAAGAAGGAAATATCACGTCGTTTTTGCATCTGCGGACGCAGGTGCCTACCCAGATTTCCGAAGCTCTAATAGTAGATATCATTTAATTACCGGATATCCGTTGTATTCCTAATAAAAATGCTACAAAAAATGTTGATATTTTAACAATTAATTTAAGCATTTAATATAATTATTTATATATAGATGGTTCAACATAATTATTCTTTGATATACATTTGGCCTAATTTTTATATATTTTAACAAACCGTTCTTTTTGTGTATCTTTAAGAAATAAATTTTAGAGATGTTGTAATAAATAATATTTATTTATATATATAAACGGATTACATATCGTAATGTTAAATTGAATACTAAATAGCATTAATCACAATTCGATATCGCTCGATAAGCAAAAACTTATCGTTTTGCAGATTCTCTCCTCTTTCTACGTTCACACATCCTCGCGAGTATCACCATTCGCTATTGAAGTGTACCGCACCCTCTTGCTGACCGAATCGAGCACCGGCTCAATTTTTTTCTGAAGCATTGTCCTTTGCAGGTAAACTAAAGCGCACACCAGGGCGATCAGCACCATCGAGAGGAAGCAAAGCACCACCGTAGTTCCTCGCCGAGTGGAAACTAAGAGCTTTGGAGCGCAATTCTTCGTTTCGTGGAAGTCGTAGCTTACATTACCTGATAAAGAAAAGAGAGTATAAAAAAGGATCTCACATTATTGGACAATTAGATCCCAGTAAAATAAGTTTATTTTCACATATGATTAATAGCTCATAATCTAGTGAATAGAAGATGTCATAGATATCAAATTTGATAATGGACAATTTTTTAGCGTTGCTTTATTAGAGACTTAAAACTTGTGTCTAATATATATCTGACAAAGCTTTAATACGTTTTGTACATCCTTCTAAATGTATGTCTCATTTGATTTTAATTTTACGATAAATATTATTGTATATATAAAATAAAATTGATGCTATATATTAATGCTCTTAATAAAAAAAAATCTAGCTGTTAATGTTACGTAGAAGATATAAAATAACGTTAGATATTGTAACATTACACATCACAGTTTTACATCTTTGGTAAAAATAATTCAAAATAATAGTTCAATAATTTTATCTATTATTGAACCTGATAATCACATCTTTCATTAAATTATATCATGTGAAAAACCAACTCAATTTATCGGAACCTAATTTTTCTTTCCGCGTTTCCTTAAAAAAAAAACTCGTTTATCCGTAATTAATACCCTTATAGCATTGTAAGTTGGCTTTGTTTCGGATGAACACTTTTGTCTTCTTTATCCACTTGATGAACGGATTGAGCTTGCAGGAACATTCGAAAGGATTGATGGAAAAATCCACGGTTACGTTTCGATCGTGCTTGGCGAGATTGTCCATGGTGTGGAGATCGCGTTCGAGAACTCTTGTGAATTTGTTTCGTCGTAAATCCAAGAAGCGCAGATTGTGCAAGCATGACAAATTAAAGTGCAGCGCGTTTAGATCGTTATCGCCGAGATGAAGATCAAGGAGATTCGGCAAATCACAGAATACATTGACATCTCGAAATTCCGAGATCTCGTTCTGTTCGAGATGAAGTTTTATCAGCTGCGTGAGGTTGCTAGAAAATATTTTTTGAATAATTAACTCTTATTAAAAAAGGAAGAAAAATTATAAACAAAAAAATAATGCAGAAATTCTACATATAGAAAACTTGTATAGTATAGATATCATCTTTATAGTTCCCATTATGTATTCTTCTGAGTTTACCTGTTTACAAAGATATCGTGGAGCGTCGACGCCAAATTCCTCGGTGGACCGTCTTCGAAGGCGTCGGTCAGATGCAGCTCTAGAAGAGATATAAAATTGGAGAAGACTCTCGGGTGATTCCTCGCGGGATCCAACGAGAGCTCATTGAAGTCCAGTATAAGACGTTCCACGTGCTGCACGTGGTGATAAGCCTTGCCGCGTATCTCGCGTATCTTGTTATTCGACATGTCGATCACCTTCAGATACGGCAGGCTGTCCAAGGTACCGAACACGTTCCAGGGCAGTTCCTCTAATTCGTTCCCCGTAAAGATGAGTACCTGCGTGTGTATTAATACGTTAATCGTGATGTAATAGAGTCGTGCGCGGACTTTGATCGCGATTGTCTACGCACTTGCGTCTCATTAGGCAGATGCGCCAGTGAGGATGTATCCTGGAATCCAGTTCCCGTACAATTCACGACGTACTGATGGTGACCGTCGTAGCACGTTCGGAAGCAGCGACAGCGGTTCTTGAAAGCTGGACCGCACTCTAGTTTGGACGACTCTAGCGTTTCCAAAGAGTGAAAATTGGGATCCTCACAGTCATTGATCGATCCAGCGATCGACACCGATATCAAGAAAAATATTAAACTGAAAACGATGGTCCTCATCGCGATCAATGATTTTGCTAAGAACGTACTCTCGAAAGGATTTTGCCGTCACACTTATGCACGACTGATCAAACGTTGGCCGAGAAGACCTTCACGCGTTGTGCTTCCAATCTACAAAATTGTAATATAAATTTATTATTATTATTATTTAATATAATTTATATTAAAATTTCAATGCAATTATATTAAAATTTAATAAATTTATACACTCTTACTAAAATACAAATGAAAATAATTATTTAAAGCTAATTTATTATTTTATCTCCTTCGCGTCAAATCTAAGAGAAAGACAGAGAGAATAATTTTTGATCATATATGTTTACACAATTATGTTAGTACGGAATAAAGCTTTGTCATCAATGTTTGCTGATATCTAGATAAAATTATCTATATAAAAGTCTAGATAAAAAATTCATCTTATTTTTATTTAGATTATTACAATATACTATCTTCATCTATATTTTAGAAAAGTGATATTTTTTTTTATATTATCTAAATTAACCGTATAACGAATTTCTTTATTTTAAACAAAGAAAATTTTAAAAAATTATAAGCAAAATAAACAAATTTATGCAAAGTCAATGCAATCGCAAACTTATTTTAAAGTTGCAAAAGTCTTTCTAGTTGTGGACAACAAATATATATGTACTACCATGTAGAAATTGTTTATCAGACGAAATGTTCAAAAAACTTTTGTTTCTAAAAAATAAAGGTTTATCGATAAAAATATGATTTTTTTGTTTATAAAATAGTATTCTCTAATATTGCTAAATATAAAGGTGACATATATATAGTTGCTGAAATAATAGGTGTTCGTAAAACATATATAATAAATTAAAGCTAAAGGTCCATTTTTCGATAAACTTCGGTCCACTGTCTTACTCTCTTACTCTTTTACTTTCTTATTTATCCAGTTAGGATATTATCACACAGTTTATTCGAAGATGAACCGATCCTTAAAGATAAATACGAAATTGCTATCACAGAAAAACTATCACAGAAAAACTGATTATAGCGAAATGCTATACGGCTACGCTTACAATCAATAATATTTTTGTATTATTATATGCGATTACATTTTCTTGTTTAACATGTAAGTTATCTAAGATTATAATTATAATTTAAAAAATTGACTTTGAAAGATTACAATAATTTTTTTGCAGATGTATATATGTTTGAATATACAATAAACATGCTAAATTTATATTTATCACACATATATATATATATAT